ACACAACTGAACAGATTGTTAAATATCGTAAAATTCCTTATGTGAATGAACTTACGGGAAAAATTAAAAAAATCTTTAAGAATATTGACAACATCAAAGTGGTGGATTGCTACGATAACAAATTGCAGAAATATTTCACTAGAGTCAAGGACAGTACTGATCCACTATTAAAATCAGGGGTCATCTATTGCATTTCGTGTGGCGAATGCAATGGCAAATACATTGGACAAACCAACCAGTGGCTAAAAAGTACGATTTCAAAACACAAGAGCGATTGTAGGTTATTAAAATCCTCCTGTGCTCTATCACAACATACCACGGACACAGGACATAAATTTGATTTTGATAATGTCAAAGTTTTGGATATTGAAAAGAATTATCATAACAGAAACCTTTTAGAAGTTCTTTACATTAAGTTATTGGAGCAGATCTTGAACCGAACATCTTTGTCTACCTAGACGATGTGATTATTGTCACCGAAACATTTGAGAGGCATATATTGATATTAGAAAAGGTGCTTAAAAGATTAATTGATGCACGTCTTAAGATCAGTTGGGATAAATGCAACTTTTGTAGATCAAAATTGTGATACTTGGGATACGTGGAACTATACTTTGTTTTCCAGATTATTCGTTGCCATTTGAACTGCAACTGATGCTTCTGCAGTTGGGTTGGGGGCTGTTCTGTTACAACCATCGGAAAACGGAGCTCGCGTCACTGCTTATTTGAGCCGTATTTTGTCAAGAACTGAATATAACAACTCTACCACTGAAAGAGAATGTCTTGCCGTGATATGGGCTGTGGAAAAGCTAAGGCCGTACCTTGGAGGTGTACCTTGTACTGTAATAACAGATAATTACTCACTGTTATGATTGCTGAAGTTGAGGGAACCTACTGGTCGAATAGCGCGTTGGGCTGTTCGATTTGTATCAACAATTTCATTTCCACGTTAAGCATCGTAAGGGTAGGGGAAAGGGGGGTACATTGGGACATGGGACACAATGGGACATTTTAAATTATGGCGCCATTACTTGCTGTTTTTACTTTTAATAAAGTGTACCAGAGGGCAATACCTTGCTTCAAATTCTCCAAACATTTTGCGCTGTTTTGTGACGTACGGAAATTTTTATTCAATTTTAAGTGTTTTATGGTAGTTGGTGTAAACAGTTGCATGAAAATTGGTAACTGGATATTTTCTATATTTCAAGCAAATGGTTTAAAATTAATTAATCACTAAGAACACACAATATTGAGACTTATGTTCATTGCTTTATTTATTGTATAGACCTAACCTATTATTTTGCAAATGATCTTATGTTCAATACAGTCAGTGGGGGCACTTTGGGACAAAAGGTAAGGGGCACATTGAGACTATTCCAATGTGCCCCCGCCTAATAAAATTTGTTGATATAATTAAGGAAAAAAATGTTTCAGGACTCAGGACATAAAAAATGGTCCGTACGTACAAGAGAAAAACAGATCGTGCTTCCGTATCTAAGGAAGACGGTGTTGCTGCAGTTAGAAATGTTATTGATGGAAGGTTATCAATAAGAAATGCTGCAGCAACACATAATATCAAGAAATCTACCTTAGTCAAGAGGTTGAACAAAGTCAAAAAGCGGAAAGCAGAAGAAAACAGAGATGGGGAAACAGGGGAGTCTCTTGCTGCGCAACCGACTGAAGATGATGAAGGAGAGAAAAATAATAAAAATAACAACTTGCCGCCTGAGACCACGAATCTTGCCACAGTAGAAAGTGATTCAAACGACCTATTTCATTGGCCATTTCAGTCGAAATATAGCACCCAACAAGTTTTTACCGTAAACCAAGAACAACAATTGTGCGAGTATCTAATGCAAAGTTCAAAAATAAATTACGGGCTGACGTATTCGCAAGCTCAAATACTAGCGTTTGAGTTTGCTCAAAAACTTAACAGAAAATACCCAACGAGCTGGGATAAGAACAAGAGAGCGGGTTTGGACTGGATGAAATCTTTCATGAAAAGGTTCAGCAATCTCAGTTTAAGAAAACCTGAAAACACCAGTCTAGCCAGGGCATCAGGATTTAACGAAACCAACGTGAAACAATTTTTCGATAATCTGCAAGTTGCATTAGAAAAACATAAAATAACACCAGAAAATGTCTATAATCTGGACGAAACAGGGGTCACCACAGTCCTTCAGACACCAAAAGTTATTGCTATGAAGGGAACTAAGCAGGTGGGGCAAGTAGTTTCAGCCGAGAGAGGAAAACTGGTAACCTTTTGTGCTATCATTAAGAGCCCACTTTACCAGGTCGGTCAGTTTCTGAGGGGCGCAGACGACGGACGTTCGGAAGCAACGAGGCGGAGTTTATTTTCTACTAGGCCCGACCCTTTATAGATAAAAAAAACATCGTGTTTATTTTATTACGATTCTTTTTCTCGTCGATGTTGTTAATGAAGAANCTAAGTTGTGTAGAGCCAATTCTGCTGATTTTCCCGCTTGATAAGCATACTGGTGGCGACTCAGTGGACCAGATACCAATGGCACCGTACGGATATACCGTTCCAGAACTTTTTCAAGGGTTTTCAGCAGAAATGACGTTAGGCTGCTGGGTCGAAAGGCATTAGTAGGGACCGAACGGCCCTCTTTGGGTATGTAAGGTACCCTGTAAGAATGGACCTTAGTCCATTCTGCCGGTACATATTTCCAGGCGATACTCGCTCTGAAAATCTTTACCAAAATTGGCAACAACAAAGACCTCCCTGCTGTAACAAAGCAGGAAAGATATTGTCTTCTCCAGGCGATTTGAACGGCTTAAACGGTTGAATTGCCTGGTCCACGGATGTGTAAGTGACGACTTTTCTAGCCACACTCCAATCCGTATTTGAGGGGCGCTTTGCCTTGCAGGAATAGCCCGCTGTGGCATTATCGGCCCTCATCATCAGGCTTCCTGGGAAGTGAGTCTGCATGAGAAGCTCCAACGAGGCTCTGCTAGAGTCCGTAAAACTACCGTCAGGCCGCCTAAGTGAGCCCAGGGGTAGTGCCGGATCTCTAGCGAGAATCTTGTGAATTCTTGCACTGCTGGGTGTGTCTTTCACTCCCTCACAGAACCTCCTCCAAGACTCTCTTTTTGCCTTACGTATGTTTTTGGTGTAATTCGTTAGAGCCTGTTTATATTTCTCCCATTCACCTAATGTCTTGGCCCGGTTGAAAAGCTTTCGGACCTCTTGTCTTTCGGAGCTAAGAGATTCGTTCCACCAGGGTGTGCCCCGATTACTACTTTTCACCTTCAGTGGACTGCTACTGTGATATGCAGAGCGAATTGCCACAGAGATCTGCTCCGTGGCTATTTCAACCTGATCACAGTTCCTAACGGTTGCGATAACACTAGTTAGGTTATCTGCAAGGCAACTCTTAAACAGATCCCAATTAGTGCTACGGGGATTACGGTACGTACAGTCCGATTTCATCCCTAGATCAATTTTAAATTGAATATGTCTATGATCTGAACACGACGGTTCAGAGGATACCCTCCAGGAGGTTATCTTAGAGCTTAATATAATTGAGCTGAACGTAATGTCAAGTACCTCTGCTCTATTTCTGGTAACAAAGGTTGGTTTGGCGCCTACATTATTAACAGTGAGCCCCTCCCCTAATAGGTAGTCAAAAAGTAACTCACCTCTTTCATTTGTGTTGGTGCTTGCCCACATTGTGTGGTGGGCATTGGCGCCATTTTCGTCACATCCAACAACAACTTGCAGGTTATTCCTCCGGCTGTAGGCAATTATGTCTCGCACAGCGGCCGGGGGAAGGTCATTTTCCGTTCCGGGGAAGTATGCCGAGCAGATGACAATTTCTGTCCAGCCCTTCTCACCACGGATTCTCAGAACCGCAGCCACACAATCGCGGTGGCTATGCTCTGAGATTTGGGTGTCCATTTACGAAATCGCAGAATTAACCGGTCAAGCCTATTATAAAGCATTTACTTTGGATAATATTTGCTCTGGATTTAGAAAATGTGGCATAGTGCCATATAACAGAAATATTTTTTCGAGAGATGATTTTGCGGCTGCATATGTTACTGACAACGCATCCTTAACAGTTTAAGAAGTTCGTGCAAATACATCCCATCAAGAAATGGAAAGAAACATTACGATAACAGCCAGCACTTCAGCTCGGAGTGGATTTGTATATCCAACTGTAGTGGACAAGGATTTGGTAGAGTTCCATCAAATCGAGATGAAACTCCCAAAACCGAAGCAAATTAATACCACTACAAGTCAATCAGGTTCTATAAAAAAATTTCCAATAGATTTAAGTTCCTTTAATATATTTTGAAACGATATGTTTAATATTCTGTCGATATTTTGTTATATTTGGAAACAATAAAAATTGCACTTTCACTTGTTAGGGAGTTTTACCAAGGAAGTTTACTTGTGTGTCCACATGTGCCCCACAGTGGGGGCACATTGAGACATTTGCATGAAGTTTTTGAAAAATAAACAATTAAATTTGTATGAGCGAATTACCTTTTATAGACGTTGCATCCCAAAGCCAAAGCCCTAATTCATGTGTTGTTTAAAAATAAAGTTATTTCATTCAAAAATAAAGACTTCATATTGGAAAATGTTTCAAACGTCCCAATGTACCCCCCTCTCCCCTACAGAAAATGTTGTACCAGACACACTATCTAGGATTGTGCAAACTGTTGATTGTGTTGGTGCTTCAGTTGTTCTTGATACTAATAGTGATAAGTGGTATTGTAAACTTCGCAAATTGATGGAAGAATATCCAGCTAAGTACCCGCAATATCGTATCGTGGATGGCCAACTTTATAAACATGTTGATTTGCATTTAGTTGGTTGGAATCTTTCTTTGTTCAATGGTATTATAGTCTTATATATTTTCTTAAAGTAAAAAATGGTTTTAACTTGTTCATTCTGAGCAAGATTAACTGCATATAAGGGAATTGTATATTTCGTTGTTAGTAAATCTCATTGATTAAGATAAATTGACTATTTTTGGAAGATATTCTTTATTTAAATAACTATTGAAACATAAGTCACACAGTCTTTTCAACATATAAGTTTTACATTTACACATTATCATATGTGGAAAGATGTGGTACAATTTTCAAAGCCTTATACATTTACATATTCCTATTTGTTCCTTACCACAACAAAAAAAAAATAGTCACCATTGTGAAAAAAGAACAATTTGTTTATTTATCAATTCTACCTTTCAAAAATTTAAAGTACCACAATCATTTTAAGTGTCTTATCACTGAAAATCTAATCCTTCCATAAGAATTGATTATAATGGACTACAAAATTTCATCTTGTAACTTAAAAAAATAAATCGAACTTCCCATAAAACAACTAATAAAAATATCAGAAAAAAATGAAAGGAAAACACGAATGAGTAAATTATAAGATAAATCATTCAGACAAAAAAATCATATATATCACGAATATAAATATAAAAATAGTATGTTTAACCAATGAATTAACCAAAAAATGGAGATGTACGTTGTTTTTGTATTATAAGGCACTGGCCTTAATAAGAAAAGGCCTTGTACTGCTTGCGGTGTTATAAATAAAAATATAACACTAGAAACTAATTTTTTTGGCACAATCCGCGAGCAACACTTTGTCCTCTTTTTATGACATTCCATTATTGTTGATTTTGTTTGAAATGTGGTAAGACAAATTGGTGTTAATAATTCGGGTTGTACGGTGCTTGTTTAGCGTAGCTTTCTTGCATTACAGGTTGTTGAGTCGGCTGCCCCATAGCTTCGTGATATGAAGGTGGCGGTGCTACAACCGGGTGATTTTGTTGTGGTGGATATGGTTGAGGCATTACAGGTCCTGCAATTATTTCATTGAAAAATAATTAAGTAACAACCGCTTTAAAAATAAGGATTAAAAATAAAAACTATATCTATTGTTATTTATTGTAACAAGGAAAATTTTTTTTGGACAACCGGATTTTGAGCCCAATACATAACACTCAAGAGTGAATAATAATAAATATGGGAAAACTGTCAGAAAAAAAAATCAATTAAACGTTCATTTTTATTCAATTAAGATTACAACCGGTTGTCTAAAAAATGTGTATAAGTTGACCGCGTTTTTTCGTGGACGATCCCGATAAATAGTGTTCGGTTATAGTCTCTCGATCGCCAACAATAAAACTTTGCGGTTTTCGTACACAAATAACTAATTTTGTTTTAGTTATTATAATTACATATCAAACAGATAATTTTTTATTCCATGCATACATGCAACTTGCATCACTGAGATTAGTGAGTTATTAATAACATGAGAAACGGAAGTAATAATATGAGAAATAAAAATTATATTAAAATATTGAACGATTAAAATGATTTCATTACTTTAAATTTTAAAAAAGATAAACAATAGTAATAGTTTAAATAGAAAATTATTAATCCATGAGTTAACTAATGAATTATAATAATCCATGTATTTTAACAATTATTGCTCATAACTAAATAAACAATTTTTGAAGTATTTTTTGTCCAGTAGATTAATAGAAAATAATTTATCGTATCAAGGTCTCTAGAACGAACATAAAGTACTCAACTCTACAGAGTCTCCATATGACTGGAAACAACAAATCCATGTGGACAAGTATGTGACATTACACACAGATTTGTACTGGATGGTATATATCTTGGTTTTTATTTTATTCAGAAGACTACTGCGCGAATTATGGAACATATTCAACAAAACTATATTAATCACTTCATATTCACTTCCTGAAGGTTATGATTAATCGCTAAAGACTTGTTTAGAATTTAAAACAAATTTTTTTTCAACAATAGAAAATATCAATTATTTCCTTAATCCCTACACAACGTGTGTATAAATTTGCACAAACGTATATTCATTATCTCTTGATAGAAACAGCTGTACGCCTTGTGACAAACTGTGGTATGTCACTTCAAGGAAGTGACGAAGAAGCGGTAACTTCCTTGAAGTGACCTTACAAGTTTTCCTTGTAAAGACATGGTCGTATTAAAATAAGAGGCATATATGCTTTGATACATAAATAACTATTAATTACTGCACGTTTTACATTATAATATTATCATAGATAAGCATATATATACTATCTCCTATATCGCTGACTCCCTATCTAAGCAATGAGTGGCGAGCGTTTCCATCAAAAGCAGACGGAATGATATATGTTTTGTCTTTGTCGTGCCCCCATGTCGCGAAGGTGCTTGCGCGAATCGTAAATTTTAAAGAGTTTGAAGTGCTTCGCGCGTATTTTATGCAGCTTTGAAATGCAATTATTGTAGATAATTGACTTTAATTATAAATTATCATAGATGCATCAAATAAATTAGAATATATGTACTTTTGTGTGAAATTGACGTTGAATATTGCTTTAAATATCAACTTTATGTAGGTTGTTCATTAAACATTATATTCTTTAAAATTAAATTAATACATATATACATATGTAGAAATTATTAAAAATGTGTACCAAAATATAGTTATTAATTTTTAACATAATTTGTGAGTTCACGCTCTTTAATGAAGTTGTTACATTAATTAAAGATATAAAATATGTACTTAGGGTACTTACTATTTAATGTACATAATATTCTATCATAAAATTTTCATCATATCGATGTAATTATTAATTAAATTTTTAAGAAAAATGTTACAAGAAAAGGAGGGCTTTGAATTCTTTTTTATTACACTGAGATCGTTCCTTCTACCTACTCAACCAATTTTTAGGCCCCAAAAATATCTTTTAACAAATTTTCTTCACTTTCTTAACAAATAATAATTACATTTTAAATTGCTTAGTCCTAAAATATGTTAATAATTATGTTATTATACACATGAAACCTATAATATACATAATTAAATATTTAGATTTTAGGTTATGTTTATGTCAAACATTTATTTGGTGATTTATAAACATCAAGGTCATCAGCTGCTATTAATTTTTAATTCACCGTCCAATAAGATAAAAGCGTACTCACCACGTGTTCACGCATGTCTCTTGAGTAGACGGGGGCACGACAGAGACAGATATATATATATCTGCACTCTAGTGTTTACACTCTTTTGCTGCCTTAGTCAGCGATATAGGAGATAGTATATATATGTAGATAAGTTAATATTTTTATCTGTATTTAAACGTAAGTACAGTACCGCTCAAAAGTATATGATAATTTGGTTTTTCCCACATAACTTTTTTGAAACTTTATGAAAGCAGACCATTTTTTCACCATAGTTTTTGCAATGTATTTCACATGACATAGACTTGTGTAGAAGAATCTGTTTCAACTTTGAGTTATCAAAAAATTATTTTTCATAACTCAAGAAATATCAACATAATAATCGTGAACGGCAATCAGCCATGTAGAGCAACCTAGTACTTGGTTAGGTAACCCATCCTGTTGATCACAGCCTGACATCTGGGCATGAAACCAATCAATGCATCGATAGTGGACTGGTCGATCTTCACCAACTTCGCCTGCAGCTGTTGGAGCTTTTCGTCAGCGGAAGTGGTCCGAATGCCCATCAACTTGTGTCAAAGAGTGTCTCACAGTGGTTTGAAGATGTTGAGGTCCGGGCTCTGGCTGCACCAGTCCATTACCGCCACTCAACGTTGCGTGATCCAGTTGGACATTCCTGGATGTGTGTCTGGGATCATTGTCTTGCTGAAACAGTCAACACCGATCCATGTTTTGCGTGGCCAGGGAAGCATGTCATCTTGCAGGCAGTCCCTGAACTTCTGGCGGGCCATGGTGCCCGTAATGCGAACCAGAGGGCCGGTGATAGCAGCGTTGAAGCACCCCTACACCATGACGGAACCACCGACATGCTTCATCATGAGAAGCAGGTGCTTGGGATCAAAGCGGGTGCCCGAAGGATGGCGTATGCACGATATACCATCAGTTCCGAATAGCAGGAACTTGCTCTCGTCGCTCCACAGGGACCTTCTCCTACTGCTGCCGGGTGCAGTTGAGGGGCGCGTTCGCCTACTGCACGCGCGCCTTCCTGTTTTTAGGTGAAACGAGTGGTTTTTTTACCGGACGTCGACCAATGAGTCCTGCATTCTTCAGCCTCCTCTTGACTCTGTCGATGTAGACGGTTGGCGCTGCGCAGAACACCACAATTCTCCCGCAATGTCCATTGTCGTGAGCCGTGTGTTCGCTCTGCACAGCATCGAGCCGTTCCTGTCCTCTAGCCGGGTGGTGATTTGAGGTGTATCATTTTAGTTTCTTCGTCACGAAGCGACCAAGTGTCCTCCACGTCTTCAATACCGATGATATTTGCGTGATGAGCTGCATCTGTGTGCATCCTTGTCGAGCACCTATATGATGGCCTTCTGCGTCGATTCCAACAAATCTCGAAGTCCTTCTTTTTACTCATTCTTAAGAATAATGTTTCATAACTTCCAGAAAATATCACGTGAAAATAACGTTAAACAAAAAATTAAAATAAAGGTTATTTCTAGGCCTGATTTCAAAAGAAATTTGTCACGCCTCTATACTTTGGCATATATTGTATCCTCTGGAATATAATAAATTGTATTATTAGAAAAGTTATGTAGGAAAAACCAAATTATCATATAATGCTGAGCGGTACTGTAATACCATTTAATTAGAAAACTTGAAAGAATAAAGAAATAAGTTAATATACTTAATTTGCACATTTAAATTTTTTTAAATATATTATTGTAAAAATAAAATATTTCTATTGCAAATAAAGAAATTATATTAATTAGTTTAGTAGATAAAATTAAAAAGATGACACTGCACATGGTAAAAACAATGAGAAATAATAAAAAGGAAACAATAAAATGTCAACAGACGCCTTGGAACGATGAGAGGCAGAGGTTAGAAAATTAAGAAATGGCCTGGTCTGATAACAACAAGCATGGCTAACGAGGGAACTAAAGAGATACGCAAAATATTAGGTCAAGAGGGACAGGCGATAACGAGAGGAATAATGAGAGATCAAAGAAGATAAACAATAAACATAAAAGGAATGACGACAGCAACAAAAATTAATTAGATGGAAGACGCAATACGGAAAAGAGCTGGAAGCAGCATCACAGAAGAAAGCAATAAGTGGAGGAAAAGTTTCTCACAAATGGAAAAATTCCTTTGAATATGATCAACAGTATGTCACGTGGGAAAATTAAAGTTAATAAAAAAGTGCTCAAGATTTTGGTCGCCAACTCACTTTGCCAAGGACTACAAGAGAACCTATCGATAGAGTGCAAGAACGAATCAAAATGCCCTTCACGGGAGCATTTCTGATATAGAAAAAAATAAACGAGGCAAGAGAGAACAGCAAGGAAACAGTAACAGAAAAAGTGGACAAGGTAAAATAGATTGTCAGCTGGTGTAACAAGAAGGATAAGTCGGAAAAGATAAAAATGAAACAGAAATCACGCAAGAAAGTGTACAACATCAAAAGCAAGAAAAGTAAAAGGAAGTAAAACAGTCCAAAAGAAAAGAAATGAGAAAAGTGAAGCAGATATCCAAAGCTTCCCCGAGTCATCTCCAGATAGACCATAAAAAATAAATTGAATAAATTTAATGCAAATCAACTGCAACAGGAGCTGGGATTCATACAACCACCTTTAGGCACAAACAAGAGGAGAGCGGAGAAGTTGAAAACAGAAAGAAGCCAGATGTATTCATTAAATCAAAAAGTTGGGTAGTATTCGAGGACTTCCTTGACTGAACATAGGGAAGCTTACCCTCTAGTCTGTTTAAAGAATTTGGATTAATGGAGATTTAAACGTTATAAAGGGGATGACGATAGATCAAATTAATATTATCAAACACACCCGGTATAATAACCTATAG